ACCTTTATTTTTAGCTTTTAGTACGAAGAACAACTAGACAACTATCCCACTCTTCTCAACAAATTTCTTACTGCCTATTAAGAAACAGATCATTTTAATCTAGACCCCTATGACGAAACCTACGGAAATAGTGACACTTTCGCAGACGAAGCTATAATAATCATCATCAAGCTCCTCTTCTCATCAATCCTAATGATGAGGACAATCAACAACCTTTTATTGTTCAAAATAACTAAGCTAGTCCCCAAAATGACCCTATAATATTCTTAGCCTATCAAATAGGCAACCTCATCCTTTAAATGCAGAATAATCTTGCTTCTCAAATTAATATTCCTGCCATTAACCTTCCTGCCTATAATTATAAACTCAACCTGGTTGCTTATCCTGACTTTTTCAGTGAAGAACAAGACTTCATTATATGGTTGGAAGATATTGAAAAGGCATTCAAAGCCAACCAGGTTCAAGATAATTGTAAGATTCCTGTTTTCATTTCCCATTTAAAAAGAACTGTCGCCACTTGGTGGGTTGTTGCTAAACTATTCAAGCCACTATTGACCAATGGAATAAACATCATTATTAAGGCCAGAGTTTTCACCCACACTTTGTAGCCCAATTTAGAACTCCCACTCTCAAGAGCAAATAGTTTGCTCAATTGACTCAATGTAAACAAGGTCTCACTAAGGAAGTTGACTCTTATCATATGTCTATTAAAGAGCTTTTTCAACATGTAAAATCCAGAGGACATCATTATCCAGAAACTGCAAAGGCCCAAATATTTATCAATGGCCTTAGATCTGAGCTTTCTACCACAGTTTTTCCCTTTATGTCCAATACTCTAAATGCTACTTATGAACATACTAAAGCATTTGAGAGTTCATTTAGACAAAATCCCCTATATCATAACCCCTACTTGATAACAATTTCTCATATTTCTCCCTATGCTGTTCCCAGTTTGTTGGACCTTAACCCTCTTTTTAACAACCCCCTGCAATCGGTTTTCCAGTAGTTACCTCTCCAAAACTGAGGAAGTTTTTGTCAAGTTGACTAAAGCCATTATCACGATGATGACTAAGCTACAAGAGCCTAAGGAAACCCTTGTAGAAACTTTGATAATTGGAATAATACTCCCTGATATCCTTGTAATTGGTGTGGACAAGTAGAACATTATGTTCAAAATTGTCCTAACTTGTTATCTTAAGCTGCTGGAAATAATGTGGCTACCAGAAGTAACATTGTCGCTCTTGGTTAGAATAACAGTGCTTAAAATAACCCTCTAGCGAATCACAACAATAATGTCCCTGCTCAAACTGAAAGGAATGAGACTCAAAGTTTTTTGAATCTCCATGTAGACAATAATGACTTTCTGTTTCTTCCTGCAGAGGATACTGAAGAGACGGCTTCCAATAAAAGGCATCATACTGATGAATCTGTTCCAGAAAGACATACTGAAGAGTTGAGAACTGCTGGTAATGTTGAGGAAGGATCTAAGAAGTCTACGTTGGGAGCAAAAATAAATAAAGAAGGTGTTAAAATGATTATGAACTGAGAAAAAAAGACTCAAGATAACCCACTACAAATTTCTGCCTTAATTCCTTACTACTCTATTATATCAGATATTGTGATAAACCTGCTAATATCACATTGGGTCAGTTACTACAGGTAGTTCCTTCTTTCCATACTAACTTGGTCAAAAGTCTCAGAAGAATGAAAGTCTCAAAGAAAAGAGCCTGAGTGTTTGCTAATATATACCCACTCCTAAGTCTACCACCTTGTACTGTGATGCGACGATTTATGATAAGATCATTCTCCTTATCGTTGATAGTAGCTCTTCCAGAAGTGTTGTATTGTCACACTTGCTCACTGAATTGGGTATCAAAGTTGAAAGACCCTCTATAGTAAATATGATTAATGTCTATCCTATTGGTGAAATTTTAGACTTTCCTTTTTCTGTTAGAGGCATCATGGTCCCTGTTGATGTGGTTGTCACAGATGCTTCATTATATCAGACTATTGTAGAAAATAACTGGCTTTCAAAAGTTAATGCCAATATTGACTATAACACTTTGGAGATGACGTTTCAGTGTGATAATAAGGAAGTCATTGTTCCGGTTGAATTCAGGAAACTCTAGCATACCTCTATTCAAGATAATCACCCTTCTAAAATTACCAAAGTGAAACAAGTTGGAAATGACAATTCAAAAGAATCTGAATCTGGAGAAGAAATTGAGAATGAATTTAAAGAAGAGGAACTTGAAGACCATCTTTTTGAGTTCTCTAAGGATGAAGAGGTCATCTTCCAGTATTCTTGTCATAAGGACGAGGAGTTGTATGAATCTTATGACAAATCAAGTGTATACTCCAGGACATCTGAGTATAATGCACGACCCAAGAAGTGTGGGTTAGGTGATGCCTGGTGGAAATTAGATAGTGATGATGATTATGAGTTAAGAAGTAACAGTAGTGTCCTTGATTTTGATGACGACGAATCTGAACCTGGTCATGATTTCTTTTTTGATTAGATAAAAGAAACACCTCACAAAATTTATATTAGAGAATTGTGGAAAGACGATTGTAAAAAATTGGATGAGCAAGGGTGTGGCGACTTAGTGAAGTTGGCAAGTTGTCGCACCCCCAAGCAGCAGGACTAGAGTTCGAATCTCACCGGTGACGAAAATTTGAATTTAAGAAAATGTATTTGGAAAACTGTATCCTATTGGGTTATAGAACCTGTAATGGTGGTCGTACCAGCTTGTACTGGGAGGTAGTGAAACATGTAGTATAACATATGAGTTACACAAAACTCAAGTGAAGCTACCGGATAAATCTAGCGAATTTACAGGGTACAGAAGCCTGCTTGGCAAGACCCGAATAGAGAGGTAGCACAGATCTTCGATGGCACTACATAAAGGATTATTCAAAAACCAGAAAACTGGACAGGACCAAAGTGTTTAGCAAGGCACTCTCCACCAACCTGGCCGCCGGAAGAGTAACCAGAGGAAAAGGACCCAATCGTGGGGACCAAGGGCAGGTCACAGCCTTCTGGGCTAACTAGATTGGAAGTTTGAAATAATGGGAGGATAGTCCGTATAGTGGGTGCTGGGGTTTGTGTGAACTCTATAAGGGCGGTAGTAGGTAATGGTAGCAGCCTCGGCTCGCAAGTACTTGTCCTCAGACTCAGCGTAAGTTACCAAAAGCCTAGGTTAACCGGATTGTGGGTACGGATAGCTCTAGCGACGATGCCTCAAGGATAAATTAGTCCTAAGGGTATAGGTGAGCATCTGAAACTTCGTAAGATGTAACGGTGATATAGGGAGAGTTATATTACAGAGGGTTTAATTAGATAGCTCAAGTAATAGTAGGTTATAGGTACGACATCTAGTGTAGAACCTAGCAATAAGTAGATACTTAATTAGGCACTCAAAAGACGCAGGTATGGCTAGTATGTACTCTCTAATGTATGGGGTTGGGATGAGCTAGTCCCAAAGAGGCTAGTTAAAGTTAAAAAAAAAAAATTGGATGAGCTACTTGTAGGCTATGATGACCTCTTCGTATAGACTTCTCAAGACTTGGGTCGCACTAGTCTCGTTACTTATCCTATCCTTACAGATAATGCACCTCTTATTAAATAGTAGTACTATCGCACCTCCCCTAAGAAGTGGAAATTTTTAAAGACAGAAATTGACAGGATGCTCTGGGAAGGCCTTATTCAATCTTTTTATAGTCCCTGAGATTTCCTTGTTGTGCTTGTCAAGCAATATGACAAGACTTGTTTTTGTATAGATTATCACTGTCTTAACGCGATTACAAAGAAGGATAGTTATCTTCTGCCCCGAATCAACGATCTTTTAAACACTCTTCAGCATTCTTCTTGGTATACGTCTTTTGATCTTGCTAGTAGTTATTGGCAGATCAAGATGAATCTCCATGATAAGGAAAAAACCACTTTCACATTACAATTCGGCACCTTTAAATTTAATGTGATGCCTTTTAGCCTTACTAATGCTCTGCTACTTTTCAAAGATTAATGGATTGGATTTTTAGAGAAATTGTTAGAGAGTTTGTGATCATCTATCTAGACAATATCAATATTTTCTTCTCTAGTTTCAATGAGCATATTCAGCATTTGGCTGAAGTATTCAATTATCTCCAAAGTACAGAACTTAAATTGAATCTGAAGAAGTGTCACTTCACTAAAGATAAATTAAAATTTCTTAAATATATAGTTAATGAGGATAGTATATCAACTAATCTGAATAAAATAAAGATTGTGAAAAATTTTTCTACCTCAGCTAATCTTTGACAACTGCAAGGATTCCTAGGGCTTACCTCCTATTATTGTCACTTCATCTGTGACTTTTCAAAGGTCGCCTCTCCACTTAACCGATTATTGAAAAAAGACATCAAGTATGTATGAACCGAGGATCAAGAGAATGCTTTCAATATTCTCAAAGAAAAGCTTATAACAGCCTCTGTCTTGGCTTATCTGGACTTTTACAAGACTTTCTCCTCTTCACAGATGCATCAGATGTTGCATTGGGAGCCATTCTTTTTCAAAAAGATCCTCAAGAAAAGGAACAAGTAATTCATTATACAAGCAGAACCATGACTTCAGCAGAAAGAAACTATTCAGTGACTGAACAGGAGTGCCTAGCCATTGTTTGGTCTGTTTCTTATTTTTGTCAATACTTCCATGGGTCACAATTTATCAACATTATGGATCATTCAGCCCTTAAGTCTTTACTACACCATCAGCTACTACAGAGATGTTTTGCTTATTGGATATTGGCCTTACAAGAGTATGAATTTTTGGTCAAACTTCATCCAGGCCGTTATCATTTGAATGCCAATAGTCTCTCCTGGCTTGTTGATTCATTGGTTCCAAAATCTAAGTCTTCTTGTTGCATCTCATATTATAATTGTCAACAGTTTGATTATTACACCCATCATTGCTATTTTTTTTTTTTTTCAATATCCGTAGATGTTATCATCTTCGGGTGCATGTGGCGCTCTTTATTTATTTATACTATT